TACTGTATTAGAAACAATGAAGATTTAGAAGAGAAGGAACTTCCTCTCTTACCTCATGAAGAAATAAGTCAGTCTACCTTTTATGAAAGACAAATAAACTCCCTACAAGAATGACTAAATGAGACTGAAGAAGCCTTAGAAATTGAAAGGGAAGAAGTGGTCAAATTTCAAGTAAAGTCTGAGGAGTGAAGAAAAAGACAAAGGCAAGAATTATTAGACCAAATTAAGTGGTTAGAAGAAGAGAATGATAATCACAAAGAGGTTAAAGACTCAGTTAGAACAGTTAACTTCTCAACAAGTTGCTCAAATTGAAGTTAAAGAGACTAAAAGATGATTTTGATTGAAAATAAAAGGTAATTAAAAAATTAACAAAGTTGAAAAAAAAGTAATTATTTGTTTTATCAAGTTATTCTGCCAGTTTTCTTTTTTTTAATTTTTCTCAATGAATTATGTAATTTTAATTACTGTTTTTATTAAAATTCCAACTTGTCTCAAAAGAATTCAAAAAATTTATTTGATTACATTTTAATTCAGTCAATTCAAAAGAATCCAATTTATTTAATCAAAAGAATTTCGTTTACATTCGTTCATTACTATTACATACAAATGGCGAATAAAAATAAAAAAATCAACCAAATCAACCAAATCAATCAAACAATACACCATACCTGATATGCAGGATCTTCTAAAAATGTAGCCAAATGAAAGGACAACTAAAAAAACCAAGTAAATATTTTACTATTTATCTCTCTATAGTGATATTTTTTTAGAAATAACATTTAAAATATGTACATTTTTTAAATATCCAGAACATTCTTGTCCAACTTGTAAGGGTACTTATCATTCACATTCTTCAAGCAATCATTGTAAATTTCAAAAAACCTCGTGCATCCACATCTGTTCAGACAAAATACGAACAATGCACAGTCAAACTGGACTAGAAAGATTCCTTAAAGATAAGGATCTTGAACCTGAAATCCAAAGCGCCGTTAAAAGAATGATTCGAATTGTTTTTGAAGGGCCAACCAAACGTCATTTATCATCGCTTTCAAATATATGCGGCAATGCTTCCAAGCTGTAACTACATACCAAAATACCTTGAAACACCAAAGAATCTATCATAATACTATTCGAGATACCCTCTACTGCATGGCAAAATGTTACAAATTGTCAGAATCATACAATGATGAAACTCGATAATCGACTTAAAATGGATAGTATAAATTGTTTAACAAAAAAAAACACATCAACTCTATCATAAACCGTTTCATTATTAACTTGAAAAATCGAGATCCTTCCTTCAAATATTATTGATAAACTATCTATATCACATCCACAATACCTAATTTACCTTACTACCCGCATTCAATATATATTCACTTGAAAGTGCAACAGACACTATTCCAAAATCAAGCTCTTCACCCTCTACTGCATGGCAAAATGTTACAAATTGTCAGAATCATACAATGATGAAACTCGATAATCGACTTAAAATGGATAGTATAAATTGTTTAACAAAAAAAAACACATCAACTCTATCATAAACCGTTTCATTATTAACTTGAAAAATCGAGATCCTTCCTTCAAATATTATTGATAAACTATCTATATCACATCCACAATACCTAATTTACCTTACTACCCGCATTCAATATATATTCACTTGAAAGTGCAACAGACACTATTCCAAAATCAAGCTCTTCATGTTACGTCTGTAAAAGCGTCTTGGTGGTCATACCTTCCAGGTCTCCATAAAACCCTCTCCACCTTTACCAAGCATAACCGAGAACATGGCCTTCGTCTCCTCACACTTTTACCTTCCCAACAAAAGTACATATCAGTTGATACTGATTCTTTATTTACATGTACAAATCAATTGAAAAAATAGAAATAGCAACTATCTAAAGATTCAAAGCTGTAAGAGGAACTTGGTGGATGGAATAATTTAATATTAATAAAGTCACCACCAAAATCGAATTTTTGTTCCTCCATACAGACTGATGGTCTGCAGAGGATGTTGATAAAGAAGGATCGAATATTGGTTTGAATGGATGTAGAGTATTGGGCTGGAAAGGTATGAAAAAGTTGAGTTGTTCCAACAAGAAGTACTGGAATTTAGCAGAGTTTACTCGTGCTCGCAAAAAAGTGAGTTGTGATTGTTGAAAAAAAAAATCTTCAGGCTGTTATTTGAGGTAAGTTATATTTTGTTAATTTAATTTGCAAGAACTTTGTCAAGGTAATTTGCAAGTCATCGAATACTATTATTTACATACCGTTCACTTGATACTAAAACCAAGCAATTCCAACCTCTGTCACAAATGTCTATGAATAGGCTCTTGTCCGCTTACATTATATTTTGCCCCAATATAATCTTTGATTTTATGGTGAACGTTACTGGGCCATTTGCGATGGAAATCTTTTATTAACGAACAGAAGGCATTTGATATGTTGTGCAAGAGAATAACAAATGGTAATGATAATGCAGTTGTTGCATTTGGTGATGGGTAAATTCTCACCACATGCTTCGGGCCCTATAAAACAATTTTGCTGAGAGCTTTCTAAACACTGCAAGGTGGTGAACATTGACGAGATCCATACATCCTCAGTCTGTTCTTTGTGTGATAGGTGATTTGATAAGCATCAAAATTTCTGGTCTGTCAGACACATTAGAGATGTTAATGCTGCCCGTAATGTAAGGATCATTTTTTTGTACACGAACATTTATGGAGAGAGACCTGATCCGTTTATAATGGTGGCTTATTGACCCCTCTGTTGCCATTTTAATTGTTGTTGGATATGCCTAACTGGTGGCAGCAGCAACGACGATGACTTTCTATGAAGTTAGCTATAGTGAGGATTTGTATCTTTCTAATTTAGTTTAACAAGGTTTACTTGTTAGTTAAAAGATTATAATAATAATTTATCAAACAAAAATTTTTATTTTTCTTTACCAATGAATTCAAAAGTTAAGTGGCATTATTTATATGTGAATTTAAAAAAATTTAAAAAATATGAAAAATTATTATCAATTAGATGAGTTAAAGGAAATCAATAACAAAATAACACATATCTTTTTATTCTATATATCTACATGTTCTACCTATTTTTCAGTGAAACAAAATCATAACATAATTTATTTTTAAACAGGGAAACCTGAGGTGGAGGAATAATCAATTATTGAACTTGTAATTTTTATCAATTTTTTATTTATATAAAATCATGTGACTACACTCTACCCTTAAAGAAACCTAGAAACCACCAAAGTTTAGCTCCGTATAACAAACAAACATTATTAAAATAATAACAACAATAATAATTCCGTCCGTGTCGTACGATATTAATATTGTCCGTTCACCATCTCAAACTCAAAAAGAAGTTTAAAAAGAAAGAAAAGAAAAAAAGCCCAAATGGTGATAATCCGAAGCAAACAAACAAATTAAGCCTGAACAAGGATAAATAAACTCGGCATGCTTTTATATTTTTGGGTTGATTGATGAATGGGAAGGAGGGTGTTAGTATTAGTATGGAATAATTATTATTATTGTGTAACTGGTTACTGTCCTTGGAATCTATACCCCATATCAAATTTTGAAATCATCTAATTGTAAATAATAATAAAAAGATGGTTTGAACTTTTATCGTTTTATTTATTTCTTGATATCTTCAGCATTTAAATATAATAAAGTTTACCAAGAAAAAAGGAAAATAAAATAATAAAAACGGGTAAATAAATCTTGTAGCTATTTATATTTAATGGTAATAATGAACCAAGATTTCCAATAAACACATGTGTGTATTACACAACATCATCTAAAGATTTTTGAATTTATGTGATAATAATAATAATAATAATAATAATAATAATAATAAATAATAATAAAGAAAAATCTTGTTATTGACTGCCAACACTATCAAAAATTTTTTTTTTTTTTGATGGAAAAAAAAGTCATTGAGCAAAAACTGATTTAGTATTAGTATCAGTATTAGAATGTTTAAAATCATTTCGATATTAATTAAATATGCAACTTCGTCACACGACAAATACAAAGCCTCAATTATTGTTATTGTTTGTTTGACGTTAAAAAAAAAAAATTAGGAAAAAATTTTTTTATACCAATTAAATTAATTCATACAAAAAAATTATCATTTTCTTTACACGAGGAAGTAAAAAAAAAGCTTTGCAAGTTTTTTTTCAATAACGGAAAAGTTAATAGTTAATCCAACCCCCCCTCCCTCCCTTCAAACAAATAAAAAAAGGTTGGTAATACCCCCAACACCCCTCTTTAGTTTTCTTAATACGCACTTTTCAAATTTATTGTAATTATGTCGTGTCACATTCCCCTTTATATATTTATTTATTTATTATGATTCTATAAGGAAAAAAAAAAACTAAAAAAAATTTTTTCCTTTCATCTCTCTCTCTTACTTTAGCATAAAGTCTGTGAGAAGTAAAAATGGTTATTACTAAAGAGGGAAAAACAACCAAAAAAAAAATCGATAGACCTGCAAATAAAAAAGGAAAACAAAAGGCACTTCCTATCAACGACGACGATGATGAGTATGACGATAACAGTCGACGAGGAAATAAACGAAAGCTTGAAGATGACGAGGAAATTGACGTCAAGACTGAAGAAGACGAAGATGTCACTAAAGGAAAAAAGGCCAAGGAATCTCTTAAAAAAAGAATAAAACAACAAAAAACAACCGAGCCTAAAGCTAATCCGAACGATGATGATAAAATGGACATAGAGGAACCTGTCAAAAAAAAAACGGTCAGGAAAAAATCCAAGCCAAGAATTGAAGAGGAAATGGACATAAAGTCTGAGGATGAAGAACCTGTCAAAAAAAAACAAGTCAGGAAAAAATCTAAGCCAAGGATTGAAGAGGAAATGGACATAGAGGATGAAGGACCCGTAAAAAAAAAACAGGTCAGGAAAAAATCTAAGCCAAGAGTTGAAGAGGAAATGGACATAAAGACTGAGGATGAAGGATCCACAAAAAAAAAACTGGACAGGAAAAAATCTAAGCCAAAAATTGAAGAGGATGAGCCTGAACCAAGTGAAGGAGAAGATGAAGATTTCCAGTGGTGGAAGGGGCAATCACTTGATGATGGATCGGCCAAATGGACTACCTTAGTCCATAATGGCGTTTGTTTTCCACCAGAATATGTCCCTCACAATATCAAGATGAAATATAATGGTATGGTGTTATATAATCTAATTTTTTTTTTAATGCATGTGCATTTGAAAATATTATTATTGTTGTTGTTATAATTTTTTAATTATGTTTCTAAACTTTTTACAATAATCATTATTGTTTTGTTTTTCAAAGGACGTGAAATAAAACTTTCTCCTGAAGCTGAAGAAGTTGCAACATTTTATGCTGCGTTGTTAAACACTGACTATGTAAAAAACGATACTTTCAATGAGAACTTCTTCAAAGATTGGCAAGTTGTATTGAAAGAATCTGAAAAAAATCCATCAATCAAGCATTTTGATAAATGTGATTTTACTTCTATATATGACTATCTACAACAAGAAAAGGAACGAAAAAAAAATTTTTCAAAAGAGGAAAAACAAAGGTTGAAAGATGAAAAGACCAGGATAGATGAGTTTTATGGTTATTGTTACTTGGATGGACGTAAAGAAAAAGTTGGTAATTTTAGAATTGAGCCACCTGGTTTGTTTAAAGGTCGTGGTGAACATCCTAAAACTGGTTCATTGAAATTGAGAGTCACCCCTGAGCAAATAACAATTAATCTCAGTAAAGATGCACCTGTCCCTCCTCCACCTGCTGGTCACTCCTGGGGTGGTATTCTGCATGATAATACAGTTACCTGGCTTGCCACCTGGAAGGAGAATGTAAATGACAGTATAAAATATGTGTTTTTAGCAGCAAATAGTTCACTAAAGGGTCAAAGTGATTTGAAAAAATTCGATAAGGCCAGGGAACTCGACAAGCATGTAGAAAAAATCCGGTGTGATTATACACAGGATTTAAAAGATAGGCTAAATTCAGTCCGACAACGTGCTACCGCAATGTATCTCATTGACAGGCTCGCATTAAGAGCGGGAAATGAGAAAACTGGTGAAGAAGCAGACACTGTGGGCTGTTGTTCCCTCAGGTGTGAACATATTACATTGGTGCCACCAAGGACAGTCGAGTTCGATTTCTTAGGTAAAGATTCAATAAGATACGTAAACTCGGTAGAAGTAATAGAGCAGGTTTTCAAAAACCTTAGAATATTTATGAAAGATAAGAAATCCAGTGAAGCAATATTTGACAGATTAAGGGTACAAAAATACAAGATTTAAATTTAATCAATCACATATATGTGTGTGCATTTGTGTTTGTTCTATTAATAAATTCAAATTTTCTTTAAAAATTCATTTAGACTCAAGATTTGAATAAACATTTGTCTGAATACATGAAAGGACTAACTGCTAAAGTATTTCGTACATACAATGCATCTCATACCTTCCAAATTGAGCTAAAGAAAGAGACAGCAAATGCTACTACTGTAATGGAGAAAATGGTGGCATATAATAAAGCAAACAGGCAGGTTGCTATTTTATGTAACCATCAACGTTCTGTCAGCAAAGCTCATGATAATCAAATCAATAGAATTGACGATAGGGTAATTTTTTTTTTTATCATGATTATTGTTAATTTCTTAAATAAATTCACATATATGTATTCTTTAATATGTTAGGTTCGTGCTTTGAAATACCAAAGAAATAGATGTAAAATGGAATTGTTGAATCTTGAGCCCAAATTAAAAAAGAAAGAGCCTCGACTATTTGAACCAGAATCGGACATGGAAGAGGAATGGGTAATTGAGCATGAGAAGCAATTGATGGAAAGAGAACGTTTGGCAGCTGTAAAAAAATTTGAAAGAGATAACGAAAAGCTTGCAGAAGAAGGAAAGTCACCTAAACCTGATGAGCATCTTAAACAATTATTAAAAGACATCGATGAAAAAGAGAAGGTGTTGAAAAGTGAACGAAAATCTGGAAAGATCAATATGAGAAAAGGACAAACGAGTGAAAAACTCCGGATCCAAATAGAAAAATTGACAGAACGTATTAACACCACAAAGTTATTAAAACAAGATAAAGAGGACAACAAGACAACTGCATTGGGCACATCGAAAATCAATTACCTAGACCCACGGATCTCCGTTGCGTGGTGCAAAAAATATGATGTGCCAATTGCTAAAATTTTCAACAAGAGCCTTCGTGAAAAGTTCCGGTGGGCATTGGATGTAGATGCGGATTGGGTGAGTATTTTTTTTCTTTTAATTAATTTTATTAAATAATAATATATTTAAAATTATTTTTATTATTTTATAGGAATTTTAATCATTGTGCAGTTATTTTCATTTGGCCGTTTTTTGCTTTCGTTATTTTAAACTCGTGAATTTGTACATTGTGCTTGGTATTAAATCTCTGCCTGGTGGATGGTTATATTTTTTGTGCTGATAGAAATTTTTTTATAATTTAGATCTGATGGTAGTAAGGATTTTATTATCATCATCATTAGCTATATTATTATTATTATTTAATTTAGATTATAAATATGAAAGCTACAATTTATATATATACTTCCTCTATCAATTTCATTTTATAAAATAATGATAATTTTATATTATAATAAACTTCTAATTTATTTAATAAAAATAGAGACAAGAAATTTCAGAGGACTAAATTTTAGTGATACGAAAAAAACTTATTTTATTCCTGTAATCAATCCAAAGATATAAATTCATGCGAAGCTTAAAATCTTATTTTCACTTTGGCATTGACCATACATGATGACGAAAGTCATTTGATAAAATTCGAAACTTTCGAAAAAATCACAAGTTTTCGAAATCGAAATACCCTTGGCGAAATTAAAATCAAAATCTAAATTCAAAATTCAAAATCGAAATCAAAATTCAAAATTGAAATAAAATCAAAATCGAAATTCAAAAAATTGAAATAAAAGCACTTTAAAGACATTAATGCAAAAATTATTTATTAATTTCGATTTTCGAATTTTGATTACAAATTTCGATTTTGATTTCGAATTTTGATTTTTTCGAAACCTGTTAGGGTATATTCGAAATGTTTGAACACTAATCGTCGAAATTATTGTCGAAACAAAACTATTTCGCCATCATGTATGGCATTGACTTGGTTGTACTGGTTTTATTCAATTTAATCTGGCTGATACTTTTCTAGTTCTTTAACTTTGTTTTATAATTCCTGAATAACCCTTTCACTTTTTCTTTTTCTTCCTCTTCCTCCAAATGAAGGTTAATTGATTTTCAGATCAGTAATATCATTCTTTTAATTATTGTTTGCTCGTCCTCTTATGATCATCCTCTAAATATTGCTGATATTGCTGATCCCGTTAGATATTGTCTTTGTTTCTTTCCTTTATTTGTTTAGTCTTTCATCTGTTTTATTTCTTCTTGAATTTTCTTTTCACACCATTAAGTATTATTCAGCAGATCCAATTATTCCTTTTAAATTTTCAATTTCTTGCTTTGATTCGTTGTCTCATTCTTTAAAATTTTTATTTCTATTCAATTATTGGCAAAGTTTTCATAATCCGTTTATAATTTCGCCAGCTCTCTCACCTATTCATAATGATAACACAAACTATCGTTTTAAATAAGAGCCAACGGTATATTTGAGGATAAAGAATAACACATCTGTTTGATCGAAGATTTCATTGAGTCCGTCTAAAAAATAATGATTCAATAATTGAAATGTCTTTTGAACCTCCATTTCTGCAACAACAAAAAAACCATGTGTTGTTACATAACTGTTCATAACATGTTCGAGTTTATCACAGCCTGAAACTCTAACATAATAAGACCGTTATTGTTGTTATTTCACTGCTGCTAGGTTCATATACACCTTCCACTTTTGTCAAACACCCGGCTGTAGAAAATTATAAAAGAGAAGGAAGAAATGCCTTCATGTAAGGATGGAATATTTTCTGATTTAATCTTATCTGCATTATTGTTTCTAGGCTCTGGATTAAACAACAATTTCAGCAAAGGGTTCTCAAGAAGATGATGCTGTTGGTTCAAAAATGGACCATCATGCTCTATAATATCATGTCTGGGGACTTTTTTTTTGATAGCTAACAAGACAAAAGTCAAAATGGAAAATAGGCATCGAGAACGCATAAAAAAGGAAAAAGTTTCCAATTTGCTCTTCCCAATAATTTTTATCATCTTCTCTTCTTCTTTCTCCTCTTCCCTTTTACTGTTTTCCTCCTCGTCTTTTATACTCCTTCTTCCTCGACTTCTTCTTCAACTCACTTAATTTCTCCATCTTCCCGATTTTCATATCTTATTAGTTTGTCCTGATTGTTCCTTGATTTTCTCAATGCCTTAATACTAACAAGTGTGTAGACAATCCTGACCTGTGAAATGTCAAAGTCACATGATAATTCACTATTAATTTCAATACTAGGTTATTTGAAAAACAGTAAATGACATCGTAATTTGTCAACAACACTGATGAATAGATCTTTGTTATATGTTATTTGGTTTAATTAAAATAATTTTTTAAAAAAAAGCAAGACATTGTGTAAATTTGAAATTTATAATTAACGAAAAATTTTATTTTCTGAAATTGGAAATCATGTGTGATTGACAATCAAAATTTTTTTTTCGAAATCTATAATGTTGTTATCAAAATCTTTGGTTTTAGAAAAGTTATTTTTAAAAAAATCTTTGTCAAAATTATTTGTAATAAATAATAATAATTATAATAACAATAAAATTCTTTTTTATTTTTTTTCTACCAATAATAATCACGTTAATATAAATCATGATAAAATTAATCCAAAAACATCAACACTGATTAATAATGATGATAGTCTTTCAAACCAAGAACCGAACATTAAAGAGCCATATATTAGTGAGGACACAGTTTACATTGAAGGGAAAACCTACTCGACTGATAATTTCACTAACGTGACACCAACAATCTTATCCAAAATCACAAGGAAACTTCATCTTCAGCAACAAAACCGACAAACATCTAATTATCATCACCCAATTTCAATACTAGCCAATAAAATTAAAACACATTTTAATGACTTTGATTATTTTGATTCATTTAATCCAGTGGTTACAACAAAAGAAAATTTCGATGATCTTGGATTTCCGATAGATCATCCAGGTAGAAGTACCACAGATAGTTATTATATTAATAAAAATGTTATGCTAAGAACTCACACATCAGCTCATCAATTACAAGCCTTCAAATTGGGATATGAGAAATTTTTGATTAGTGCAGATGTTTATCGAAGAGATGAGATTGATTCAAATCATTATCCTGTTTTTCATCAAATGGAAGGTGCAAGGATTTTCCCAATTGATAAAGTTATTGCACAAGTTAATAATGAACTAATGTTGAATTCTTCTTTTAGTAGTAGTAGTAAGAATAAGAGTAAGAGTGGTAATGATGGTGATGGCGATGACAAAGTAAAAACAAATGATGATACAATAGTTGGATCATCGAATCCTTTACAATCTTGCCACCCAATTGAAGAAGCTAATGCAACAATAAAACATTTAAAATATTCGTTGAATAGCATGGTTAAGAATTTGTTTAATGATAATAACAACAATAATGGTGATGATAATAATAAGGATTTACAGGTTAGATGGATTGATGCATATTTTCCATTTACAAGTCCAAGTTGGGAAATGGAAATATTTTATAACGGGAAATGGCTTGAAATTTGTGGATGTGGAGTTATACAACAGCAAATTTTAAATAATTCAGGCAATGATAATAATAATAATAATAATATATTATAATCTTATATAATGATATAACAATAACACTATATAATTATTTATATTTGTTTGGTAGGTCAATCGAATAAGATTGGATGGGCATTTGGATTAGGTTTGGAACGTATAGCGATGGTATTGTTTGGTATACCGGATATAAGATTATTTTGGTCGAAAGATGAACGATTCACAAGTCAATTCACATCCTCAGATAAAATAGTAAAATTTCAACCATTTTCCAAACATCCATCCTGTACAAAAGATATTAGTTTTTGGTTGAATAATGAAGAAGATGGAAGAGAAATGAAATTTCATGAAAACAATTTTTGTGAAATAGTAAGAGCAATTGCTGCAGATTTAGTAGAAGATGTTAAATTGGTAAATTGATTGTGCTAGTGGTGACGACTTGGTGGTTTGGTGATATTATTCTTGTTGTTATATATATATATATTTATTATTAATGCTTTATTTGTTTATTTTTAATAGGTTGATGATTTTATAAATCCAAAAACTAAAAAACGTAGTTTATGCTATAGAATTAATTATAGATCTATGGATAGGTAATTATCATATGTTAAATTTTATTGAACATTTAGATTTTTTAGTATTAAAGAAAATAACAAATTTTCCTTCCTTTCTCCCTCCTCCAAAAGAACATGTACAAACGAAGAAATCAATGACATTCAAGAAAAAGTAAGAAATAATATCGAGAAAGAATTAAATGTTACATTAAGATAATAAATCTAAATTTTTTTAAAAAAATATAATGTATTAAAAAATCCTGTATATAAATAATAATTTTACAACTTGATTTTTTATTATTATTATTATTCATTATTTTCCAAAGAATTTTTTATAAAATAATGTTTCAGCTAAATCAACATCAACACAACTTAATACATTCTTCATTTGTTTAGTATTTCGAATGCTTGACCAATTCTTATTGATATATTTGAATGCAATATTCTTTAATTGTAAATTATTCGTACTCCATCCTAACATTAATATTTCACTCCAGTTATTTTCATCAATCATTTTAATTATTTTTGTTGTCGCCAAATCTTTTAATTCTTCTAAATTTATAATATTTGCTTGTAAATAAAGATCTCGTAAGATTTCAAACAATAGATTTTCTTGTAGTCGATTAGTGTAGAAAAAATATAATATTTCTTTAAAACATTCATACGATACATTATCATCCATTTTAATAACTTCATTTGAATTTAATTCACCCCATCCTCCTACATCCTCACCCCCACAACATTCTTTTTCTCCTTTTATTCTATCGAATTTTTTCTTATAATATTCAGATTTTATTGATAAAACTATCCTGCTCGCTTTTAATTCATTACCACAGCTAAACTTAAATCTAATATCACTAAATTTCTCATTATTTAAATATTCTTCTAAATCATAATTAAAGGTTTTCAACTTTTTATTACTGACGCTGTTGCTGTTGTTGTTACTGTTGTTCAATTTTTCGTCATCTTCATTTTCTTCTTCATCACAAGCAACATTAATTTGATCAGGAAATGCAAACTGTACACGAATTAATAAATTTGTTTTTTTCTTAAAATCTTTATCTGGAAAAATTTGATGTATTTTACATAATTCAGGTATGCCTTGACAAGGTCTATCCGAATTAAATACAAATTTTTTTTCTAAAAAATATTTATAACAATCGAGTTTTTCTAAATCTATAAATGATAAGCTATTATTGATACTACTACTATCACTACTATAATTCTTGTAGTTATCATCATTATCAATACTATTCTTGATCCTAAAAAGTTCAAATTTATATTTCATAAGTCTTGTTTCTAACTTGAATTCTTTTTCACAGTCACTCTGAATAGGCCAAACAAATAATGAAACATAACCGTCAACAAGTCTAGGTAATAATTTTAAACGCCAAATATATTCATGGTCATCTTTTAATAATTTTCCATCTTCAGAATAAAGTGGACCCGTTGAATGAATTTTTTCACTATAATAAGATTGACAATTTTTATAATTATAAAATTCTTGGAAATCTTCTACAAGCCAATTGTATGTATTTGTATGTTTCTTAAACATTTTTTGTTTAATTCAATTTTGGGATTAAAAATACTATTTATAGAGATCGACAAAAAAAAAAGTCAGTCACTTGATAATCTCGCGATAATCTTCTTTATCCTTATGGAAAAATATATAAACAATAATAGTATCAAGATCAGGGTATAGACGCTTGACAATCTTGCATTTTAATATTAAAATGCAAATTAATATCATCATCCAAAACCGCTATTTCACGTGAATTGAAGTATTCGGAATTTTATGAGACCAAGGAAATTTTAATTTAACCGAGGGTTTTTGAGAAAGCCAGTGATAGGTGACGCTATCTATGCGGAAAGGAACAAAGTTCGTTTGGACCGCGCAATAAATGCCGTAGCAATTAAGACAATTTTTAGGTTCTCTTGGTTTTCCCAATTTATGAACTGCATTTCCCTAAATTCAAAAACATAAATTCTTTTTCATTTGCTAAAAGATTTTTGTTTTCTTTGATTAATTATAAAAAAAAAAACCATTTCTATTTTTTCTGTCAGAAGTAGTGGAAAAGCCAGTGTAGGCATTGTTGAACATTCCATTATAAATTTCCGATATAAAATCTCTTCTGTCTGTCTGCTGTCAATAATTCTACAAACGACATTTTAACCTTTTAGTATTTTTAAAATTTTTTTAATGCAGAACTTTCTTCATCACGTAACTTTATGTCCCATTAACACAAAAATATTATTATATCATTATAATTTTCTAAGAAGTATATCCCTCAACTACCGATAGTCAAGCACAACTTTGAAATCGGCTCGGGATTATGGATAGAAAAATTAATACAATCAAACCTCGTCTCAGCGAAGTGCTGGATATATAAGAAAACTCATTCAAAATTCGTTGAAACAGGATTATTAACGAATTTTATATGTTTTCATAATGTGTAATAAATAGTAATGGTAATAGTAACAAGATTTTTAAAATTCGTTGAAACGAGAGTTTGACTGTATTTGAATAAATTCACTCATAATAAAATTAACTACCTAGATATTTTATTTAAAAGAAACAATTTCTACTCTTCAAATAAATAATAATGATAATCAATTATTAACATCAAATGATAATATACGAAGAAAGACTTTGATGGTCGCGTAACAATTCTTTTCTAATTGTACACCACTACATAGATCCATTTTTTAAAAACAATATATCCAACAATTTATCTGCGTCACTAGTGTTGCTGACTGGCCTGGATATCATTATTGCCTAGAAGTCAGAACTAGAATTAATACTAATACTAGATTTATGTAGGAGTTATTTAACTGTTAAATTGGGATTAGTATAATTGATGAACGGTTCTGTTTTTCAGGTTATTTGTTTAGCTTTAACCACGAGCATATTGTGGTAACCAAATATTTATAGAATGATTGAGATTTTTCTATGAGAATTAGATATAGCACCTCTGAAATTAATGATACTTTAAAAATAAAGACAAACCATTAGTGAAATAAACAATCCTAAAAATTATAATTGGTTTCTTTAAACCTTATCTTTGCATTTGATGTCGATACTTGTGATCCGTGGTGAATTATACCATACATTTGAAATTATAAATACTTATCGATTTATATATGAGATTACTTAAAGTCAGATGATGGGTCACTTGTATAATTTGTTTTCATTTCTCTTATTTTAATAATAATAATAAATAATATTATAAAACGGTGAAATTAATTATCCATCAACAATTTTCCAACTTTTAAAATTTTAACCTTATCAACCCTCCTTTAAAATACTTCTTATTTTTATTATAATTAATCAATTATTTAATAAAATTATATTTCATAATTTAATAAGCTATCATTACTACAATTTAATTTAGCAATTTCATCATTTAATATTCTGCTTGTATGTATGTTAATGAATGTGATTTATAAATTTGTTGCGAATTACTATTATCACTATTATTATTATTATTATTATTACGCTATTATTACCATAGTGACAGAATAATAATATACAATATGAAAATGTCTTAATATCATCTACCACGCTGCTGGAATTGGGCTTTAATTTTGTTTCCTAAATTTGCAAATTTCTTTTCTTCCTTAGGTTTAGTAGCTAAATATGATTCTCAATTTTTTTGATTCCTTTGGCTGATATTTCATCTATCTCTTTTTCCTTTAACTCTTGTATGCCAGTCATTTCAGCATTTAAAACCACCTGAGTGTTGACTATATTTTCTTTTTCTTCTTAATCTTTTATATATCCTTGAAATCTGGCAATGTTTTTTAAACTCTCGTTTTTTTCCTTGACTTCTTAAATTAAATTCTTTGCTGTGGAGAAGTAGTATAAGCAGTAACCACCATTATCAATTTATCTCAACCGGCAAGTTATTTTGTTGATAAAATTGCTTTCTCGTCAAATGTTACTTAATTCAAACTGGTTGGTGTTCTGACCATCCTTTCTTTTTGACCTTTTCCCAAAGTTTTATGGATTCTTTCTCAATACCTTTCTTGGCAACTTTTTAATCATATTGTTTATACTTCTCATAGTTTTTTTAAACTTCCATGATAATCATCAAAATTAGTATTATTATATTTTGGTTAGATTTCCCAACCATTTTAATTCTTGCTGAGTGTCAATATTAGCAATATCAGCTAAATTTCCTTAGGAAAATCACTCTCTGCTTGCATCTTACCTTGATTTTTCCCTGTCTCTTCAATAGTAAAATAATTTCCATTGGTAAACCATTCTTAACAATTTCAGAAGGTTTAAGTTTATGCTTTTCAAACTTATTTAATTCATCAATGGCTTTATTTGTCTCTTAGAAATAGTTCTTTATGTTATTCATAATAATATTTTTATAATTGCTTTGTGATTTGATTGTGATACTTGTAACCCGTGGCAAATAACATCACAAATTATTTATTTTATAGACTTTTCAAATATCAAGACCATACTCTGCTTTAAAGTAAGATACTTCCGAATTACTTCCCAGTTATAAATTTTATTATCTGTGAAATTATTTAAAGTCAGATGACAGGTCACTTTGTATAATTTTTCATTTCTCTTTATTTTAAATAATATAAATAAAAATTTATCCATCAACAAATTAAAATTTTAACCTTCCTTTCAACTATTTATTTATCCTTTATCATTGTTTTTAATTAATTAAATTTATTTAATAAGCTATCATTACTTAAATTTAATTTAGCAATTTCATCATTTAATATTCTACTTTCATGGTATGCTAATGGATGTGATTTATAAATTTGTTGTGAGTTACCATTATCATTACTATTATTGTTATTACCACTACTGCTACTACTACTATTATTACCATCACCACCACCAATATCACTGCTATTTTCATAAATTTCTTGTGATTTATTAGTAGCAAATGCAGTCAGCTCTGGAGCAGTTGGTCTCTTAGTTGGATCCATATCCCAACACCTTTGCATCATTTGTGCATAATCATTAGGCATTCCTAGTAATATTGGTGGTCGTAAGCCTTCACATATATCTACCATTAAGAAATGATTATGAGCTTTATCATCAAATGGTGGATGGCCTGCAAATATTTCCCACATTAACATTCCAACACTATAAATATCTGATTCTTTTGTATTCTTTTTTCCTTTAAATAACTCAGGTGCAAGATATGACATAATCCCATAAACCTTATTTGATGATTTTTCATCAACTGGTCCACATAATCCCAAATCTGTAATGTAACTACCACCTCTATCCATTAATATATTACCACTGTGTACATCACAATGAATTAAATCATCTCTATGTATTTGATTTAATGAATCACATAAACAGCTAAAAATATTAATTCTACCTTTTAATGTTAAATTTGAATGATTTTTTTGTAAATAATCTCTTAAATTTCCTTCTGGTGCATAATCTAGAACCATTGCATAATTTCCATTTTCTCGGAATTTAGTTATACCATAACAAGGAATAATTAAATCTGTTTTAATTTTACAATAATTCAATGCCTATAATTAATCATATAAATAAAAATAAAATCAATTGATTTAAAATAAATAGTTGATTTAATTTAAATAAGATTGATTAATTACCTCTAAAAAAAAAACTTCCTGGATTACTTGAATTATTTAAAGATTTTAATACTACTTTCTGAGCTCCAAAATAATTAAATTCTTTTTTATTTTCATCATAATCATCAATAGTTCCTCTTGTCCACCTGGCAGTATAAATTGAACTGAATCCACCTTCTGTTAACTTTTTTATATTTTCAAATTGCTCATAAGGTACCCATTCTATAATTGCATCTGGAAGAGATGAAAGATTTTGACATTTTTGAATAAAATTATCAATTATTTCATTTCCAGATGTCCAAGTATCAAAGAGATTCTGCAAGTGTAAACTAATACACTCTTCACAAAATTTATCAGAGTATCTTGTTACTCCACAATTTTTACATTTTCTTGGTTCTCCTAATTTATTCCTTGCATTCTGTAATTCAAATTCATAAATAATCATTTCTCTACAATATTCTTTTTCATTTCTAAAAGGTTTTTGTTTTCTTTGACTAATTGTAAAAAAAAATCTTTTCTATTTTTTTTGTCAATTGAAAAGGCAGAATAGGCATTATTATACATTTCATTATAAATTTTAAGTACCAATTCCTTTCTGTTTACTGTCAATAATTTTACAGGGTGTTAAGAAAAAAACGGCGGTTGGTAAAAATATTGTTTTTAATGAAAAAGTAGCCAAAATTATATGATGAAAATTATAACAGAGAATCGGAGGATCTTAGATTATAACATATGAAATTTTTGAAGCATGTTATTATGTAGGCTTTAGAGCAATTATTAAAGAAATTTACACATTAAATTGTTTTTTTCAAAATAATCAAATTCCTTTTATTTCCAATTGACAAAATTCTAGAAAATCTGGAAGTATGAAAGTTTATATATATAATCTCCAGAACTTTCATTACACACCGGTATAATTTTTTGTATGATTATTATGTATATTTTTGTGTCAGGCTTATTATTAAAAATTTC